TCTTCTCCATCAAGAGCAACCACCCTGGGCTTCTGAGTGAGAAGGCAGCCAGCAAGATCAATGAGACCATGCTGCGCCTGGGCAGGTGGGCTCCATCCACACCATTTCCATTGGAATTCCAGTGGGAATGGGGACATCTCCGTGAACCCAGACAAGCCTATCCTGCCTTCCTGGGGGTGGCTGCAGCAGGGGACAAAGCTGAAGGGATGATGGCACAGCGTCTTTGTCTGGCTAAACCAGGATTTGTCCCCCTTCTCTTCCAGGCATTTTTGGGTTCTTGGCCTTTGGCTTCGTCTTCATCACTTTTGGCTGCCACTTCTATGACTTCTTCAACCAGGCAGAGTGGGAACGCAGCTTCCGGGAATATGTCCTGTGAGTGGGACAGGGATGGGGATGCTGGTGGCATCTCAGCACCTTATGTTGAGCGGGGGACATTGCAGAGTGGAGAACCCCAAGTTCCCCACCAGCGTTTCCACCACATCTCCACCCTGCAGAGCCCCATCATGTTGAGTCGTTGGGTGTTCCCCTCCTCATGGCCACTGTCCCACCTGTGTCCCTGCAGGTGTGAAGCCAACGTGACCATCGCCACGCAGACCAACAAGCCCATCCCAGACTGTGAGATCAAGAACCGGCCCAGCCTCTTGGTGGAGAAGATCAACCTCTTCGCCATGTTCGGCACCGGCGTCTCCATGAGCACCTGGGTCTGGACCAAGGCCACCCTGCTCATCTGGAAGCGCACCTGGTGCAGGTGGGACCCCTGAGGATGTCACCCGACCTCCTTCTGACCCTTCCTGCCCAATCCAACGTCCTGAGATGTTGGAGGTTGACCCCAGATTTTGTCCCATTAGCTCAATGAGCGGTGACCTCGCAGCAGTTCAGGAATGGGGTGGCCTCTCCCTTCACAATTGTCTCGTGTCCTGTTTGTGGGACACTTCCAGCCCCAGGGGACTCATCCAACAGTCTCCAGCCCTTGCTGTCCCTGTCCAGAGGAGGGGAGATGGGGAAGGTCCCTGTGCCTGGGCCACCCCATGTCCCTGCTCTGACCCACCGTGTCCCCCTAGGCTGACAGGGCAGAGCGACGACCAGCCCAAGAGGATCAAGAAGAGCAAGATGATCGCCAAGGCTTTCTCCAAGCGCAAGGAGCTGCTGCGTGACCCCGCCCAGGAGTTGTCCTTCAGCATGCACACCGTGTCACACGATGGCCCCGTGGGTGCGTGCCCGTGGGATGTGGCTACCTTGGCAGCGCCCCGAGGCCCCCACTGTCCCCCCCTTGACCCGGCTCCCTCGTTGTCATTGCAGCTGGGTTAGCGTTTGACATCAATGAGCCGTCGGCTGACGTGTCCTCAGCCTGGGCCCAGCATGTCACCAAGATGGTGGCCAGGAGAGGAGCCATCCTGCCCCAGGACATCTCCGTCACACCCGTAGCAACACCTGGCAAGTCCCTGGGGACCACATTGGGGCTTGGGGGACGGGCTGGGTTGAGGGATGGTGGGGACATGCAGGGAGGCAGAGCTGGGGGGCTTGGTCTGGTGGGGGGGGTGCAGGGCAGGAGGTGGCTGCTGTCACCTGTCCCATGTCCCACAGTGCCACCAGAGGAGAGGGCCAACCTCTGGGTGGTGGAGGCCGACCTCTCCCCCGAGCTGCAGAAACGCAGCGGCCGCAAGAAGAAGCGGAGGAAGAAGAAGAAGAAAGAGGAGGAGGAGGAGGTGTCCCCAGGTCCTCAACCCTGCCTCGGGGGGTCCGCAGCCCCTCTGGCCTCCAGCACCGTCTCCCTCGCCTGCCCCGGCTGCCCCCCCAGCCTTGCCAGGTCACCTTCACCCCTGAGGTCCTCCCGGGTCTCCCACCTGAAGCCGCCTTCACCCGTGTTCCATGGGATGGGCACCGCAGAGCCAACATCTTCCACCTCATCAGCAACCCCTTCTGCCCCGAGAGCGGGTCCCTGGAGGAGGAGGAGAGCCCCGGCCCCAGCAGCGGGCATTGGCAGCACAACGGGGGTCCCCTGCGGCCCCTGGGGCCCCTGCCCCATGGTGGGGGGACAAGGACTCGGGGCCACCGGGCCACCTTGGCCCCCATCCACTCTCGGACCAACCTCGTGGACGCCGAGCTGCTGGACGCTGATTCGGACTTTTGAGCCTGGTGGGAACCTTGGTGAGGGGACAACGAGGGGTGAGACCCCAAGACCCACCCAGCGTGGGCAGCTCGTGAGGGGACACCAAAACCACCCTGTCCCTCTGCGCATCCCTCCAGCTTGGCCACAGCTGATTTTTTTCCCCCCTTAGAGGACAACGTTTCTCCTCACATCATCCCAGATGGACTTGATGCACATCCCAGCCCAGCAGAAGGGGCTTTGGGATCCCTCTGGCATCACTGGGAGAAGAGAAACAGACCCCACCCAAGTCCTGCAGGGATTTGAGGAAAAGGGGGACGATGCCTGTATCACCAAGGGGGACAGGAAGAGGTGGCCACCCCCAGAGCCAGCGGGCAAGCATGGATCAGGGTAGATTTTGGTGAGCTTTGGGGTGCCAGGACCCCCTGCCACCCCCTGCCCGTGGCTAGATGGTACGTAGAGCTTCCAAAAACTGGTGCCAATAGGGTTTGAGTTTTAATTTTTCATTTCTTTTTAATCTTTGTATGATAATAACACAGGGCGCGGCCTCCTCTTGGGTGCTGGGGTTCAGAGCGGGATAAGCTGATCCCCCCCATCCCACCTCACCAGCAGCACCACCCCCTTTTTTTCCTGGGGTGCAGCCCTGTTTTTTTCAGGGGGTCCCAAGTGCCTTTCAGATGGGCAGCACAGGGGGTGCTCCCTGAGCCACGATAGAATACAAAAACAACCCCCAAACTTTACAATCCCGGGGCAAGCCGGGCTCACCGTTGCTGCCTGGGGGCACCAAACTCTACAACAAAGCTATTTAGTAGTATTATTATTTTTTTAAGAAAGAAAAAAAAAAACCACAAAAAAATACCCCACAAAACCCCCAGTTGCAGCCCAGCCCTGAGGTGGGAGGACTCCAGTCTCTGCTGGTGTTTTGTCTCTCTCCATTATCCCTGCACATCTCTATCCCATCCCAGGAGGTTCTTGGATTTCTCGCTGTCCTGGTCACCTCCCTGGGTTCATTTGTTGCTCTGTAAAGGACAAAGCTCCTGTATCAGTATTAAATTGGCCAAATTCCTGTTGCCAGTGGCTGCTCTGGGCTCTTTGGGGAGGTATGGAGTGTGGGGAAACTTTGTGGGGTTTTGTCTTTTCTCCTAAATGTGCTCCAATCTCCTGAGAAACTGCTTTAAAGTGCTTAAAACCACTTTAAACTGCTTTAAACTACATTAAAACACTTTAAACTGCTTTAAACTGCACTAAAACTGCTTTAAACTGTTTAAAACTGCTTCAAACTGCTTTATACTGTGTTAAAACCTGCTTTAAACTAGTTTAAACTGCTTTAAAGTGCATTAAAAACTGCTTTAAGTCACTTTAAACTACTTTAAACAGTATTAAAAACTGCTTTAAACTCCTTTAAACCACTTTGAACTGTTAAAAACCACTCTCAACTGCTTTAAACTGTATTAAAGCCCAGTTTGAACTGTTAAAAACTGCTTTAAACTGTGTTTAAACCTGCTTTAAACCAGTTTAAACTGCTTTAAACTACATTGAAAACTTCTTTAAGTCCCTTTGAACTGCTTTAAGCTGTTTAAAACCTGCTATAAACCAGTTTAAACTGCTTTAAACTGCATTAAAAATGGCTTAAAACCACCTTAAGCTGCACTAAAAGCTGCTTTAAACCACTTTCAACTGTTAAAAAACACTTTAACCTGCTTTAAACTTAGGAACTGCTTTAAACTGCATTAAAAAACACTTTGAACTGCTTTAAAAACTTTTAAACAATGTTATAAATGGCCTTAAACCAGTTTAAACTGCTTTAAACTGTGTTAAAACTTGCTTTAAACCAGTTCAAACTGCAGTAAAAACAGCTTAAAACCACTTTAAGCTGCATTAAAAACTGCTTTAAACCACTTTCAACTGTTAAAAAACACTTTAACCTGCTTTAAACTGTTAGGAACTGCTTTAAACTGTTAGGAATTGCTTTAAACTGCATTAAAAAACACTTTGAACTGCTCTTAAAAATGGTTTTAAATTGTTTAAATGGTTTTAAACCAGTTTAAACCATTAAAAACTGCTTTAAACCCCTTTAAACTGTTTTAAACCACTTTCAACTGTTAAAGAACACTTTAACCTGCTTTAAAACACCTTTAAACCACTTTAAAAACTGCTTTAAACCACTTTACACCACTTTGGACTTCTTTAAACACCATTAAAACTGCTTTAAACTAGTTGAAGCTGCTTTAAGCAACACTAAACCACCTTAAACTGCTTCAAACTGCGTTAAACAGCTTTAAAAACACTTCAAACTGCTTTAAACCACGTTAAACTGTGTTAAACACCACTTTAAACTGATTTAAACTGCTAAAAACTGCTATAAACTGTTTTAAACCACTTGAAGCTGCTTTAAAAACCACTTTAAACTGTTTCAAACTCCTTTAGGCAGCTTTAAACTGCTTTAAAAGCTTTTAAATGGGTTTAAAACACCTTCAACTGTTTAAAAAAATCCCCCACTTTAAACTGGATCAAACAGCTTTAAACTGGTTTAAACTGCTTTAAAGACCACTTTGAATTGCTTCAAACTGCTTAAATAAACCACTTAAAATCACTTTGAACTGCTTTAAAAACCACTTCAGACTGCTTTAAACCTCTTCAAACTGCTTTAAACTGGTTTCAGCAGCATTAAAAACTGCTTTAAACTGGTTCAAACTGCTTTAAAAACACTTTAAACTGGTTTAAACTGCTTTAAAAAAGTGCTTCAAAGTGGCTTAACTGCTTTAAAAACCGATTTGAACTGCTTTAAAACCTCTTAAACTGTGTTAAAAAACTGCATGAAACCACTTTCAACTGTTAAAAACCACTTTAAATGGCTTTAAACTGTTAAAAACTGCTTTAAACTGCACTTTAAACTGGTTTAAACTGCTTTAAGCCATTGAAAGCTGCTTTAAACTGCGTGGAAACTGGTTTAAAAAACAATTTAAACTGGTTTAAACTGCTTCAAGCTGCATCAAAAACTGGTTTGAACTGCTTGCAACTGCTTTAAACTGCTTTAAAATCACTTAAAACCGTTTGAAACTGCTTTAAAAACTCCTTTGAACAGCTTTAAATGGCTTAAAAATGGTTTTAAATGGCTATAAACGACTTTCAGCTGTTCAAAAAGCTGCTCAAAACTGGTTTAAACTGCTTTAAAAACCTGCCTTGAACTGCTTTAAACCACTTTGAACTGCTTTAGGAGCCACTTTCAACTGCTTTAAAAAAAACAAACACCCTTGAAGCTGCTTTAAACTTCTTTGAAAACTGCTTTGAAAACAATTTATAACTGGTTTAAACGGCTTTAAACTGTTTAAAAAACACTTTAAACTGGTTTAAGCTGCTTCAAACCACATTAAAAACTGCTTTGAACTGTTTTAAACTGCTTTAAACCACTTTCAAACTGATTTTAAAACGACCTTAAGCTGCTTTAAACTGTTCTTACAAGCCACTTTCAACTGCTTTGAGCTGCTTTATAAACCACTTTCAACTGCTTTAGAAACTGCTTTGAACTGCTTTAAAGGGGTTTAAATCACTTTAAACTGTTTAAAAAACGACTCAAAACTGGTTTAAACTGCTTTAAAAACTGTCTTGAACTGCTTTAAACTACTTTGAGCTGCTTCAGAAAGCACTTCCAGCTGCTTTAAAAAGCTTGAAGCTGCTTTAAATGGCTTTAACTGCTTCAAACTGCTTAAAAAAACCCACTTTCAACTGTTTCAAACAGGTTCAAACTGCTTTAAAAACCACTTTCAGCTACTTTAAACGGTGCTAAAACCTGCTTTAAACTGGTTTAAACCACTTCCAACTGCTTTAAAACTGAATTCAAACCACTATAAAATCCCCATCCCCTCCATTTACGCTGGGAAGTGTCCCTGGATGCTTTGGGGACAGTGTGGGGGGACACTGGTGGGCTCTGGCAGCAAACTGGGGGGGCTAGGGGGGTCCTGTTACCATTCCAGGCTGGAATATCACCTAATCTGGATTGGGTGACCGCCAAATGGGAGAGGGGGGGGCTTGAGATCATCTAGATCCAACCCCCTACATGGGCAGGGACACCTCCCACCAGCCCAGGCTGCTCCAAGCCCCATCCAACCTGCCCTTCAACACTGCCAGGGATGGGGCAGCCACAGCTTCCCTGGGCAACCTGGGCCAGGCTCTCACCACCCTCACACCAAAGAATTTCCTCCTCATGTCTCACCTCAATCTCCCTCTTCCAGTTTTCATCCATCCCCCTCATCCCATCCCTCCCTGCCCTTGTCCCAAGCCCCTCCCCAGCTTTCCTGGAGCCCCTTCAGGCACTGGAAGCTGCTCTAAGGTCTCCCTGGAGCCTTCTCTTCTCCAGGCTCAACACCCCAACTCTCCCAGCCTGGCTCCAGAGCAGAGCTGCTCCAGCCCTCCCAGCATCTCCGGGGCCTCCTCTGGACTCTCTCCTTTTGCCTCCAACACATTGGACACGACCTCCTGTCCCTCAGACGAGGTGGGAACATCGAGCTCCCATAACCTCCAGCACCCAGGCTCCAGTCCCTTGCCTTGTGCCCAGAGGTAGTGCATTCATAGTAACAATGATGATAATAATTAGGAAAAAAAAAACCCCAACCAACCCAAACAAACACGGACGGGTTTGAATTTCCCTTCCCCAAGAGGAGCTTCCCTGAAGAACTGGGTTTAGAAGAACGTGGCTTTTGTGGGTGTGGAGGCCCCTGAAGAAAGGCCCGACCCCCCGAGGGGCTCTGTGGGCTGGTAGGACCTGGCAGGACAGCAAGTTTTCCTCCTCCCCAGCGTCCCTCTTGGCTTGCCAGGGCATCTTGCTCCTCATTTCCAAGGGTCTTCACTTGTGGGGGAGCAGGGGGGGCTGGGGGAGC